TTTTTTCTTTCTTTCTGTTTTGATATTATTGGTTTTCCTTAAAAGTGAACCTTGGTTGTCCATTAATACTTAAGAATGAAGGTCTGTGTCAATTTTTCTAGGAGCTAGTACGAGTATCTTTTGTTAGTATTCTGTCTCCCCAGTGTTCTCACTCAGGAGTGGGAAAATTGCCTGGGGGCTTCATGACGTGAGTGGAATAAGCAATTAGCAGGCTTTCTTTAATGGGTAGCCAGCTATTAAGCAGGGTGTCTCTCAAATACCAAAATTAACAGGCAACAGGGCATAATTAAGAGGGTTTCACTGTGGAATGCCAAATCCATGCTAGAACTAGCTTTTCCAGATAGTTCATTTGATTTTTCATTTTTCTTTTTTTTTTTTTTAAAAGAGATAAGCCTCCAGGGTTTCTTTGTGTCTTTTTTGCCTAATAGTATATATCTGTCTACAAGCAGATTTGTGACTAGCAGTAAACATCCACCTACCTGCAGCTCTTGGTCTACAAGACTGGAGACAACTGGCACAGCTGCTCCATGTACAGACCTTCAATTAAACCCCCCGTCTTCAGTCCTTCTCCTTCCAGCTCTTTTAAATTGTTAACTCCAAATTCATATCCTCTCTGGGGTTCCAATGGCAAACCAATTCCCTCATTGGAACCCCTATGAAATGTGTCTAGGCAAGTGTTTCTACAGTTTTTCCAAAGGATGCTATCATCCATTTTTAGTTTTCCAAAAATTAGATAAAATTTTTCTGTGCTCATGAACCCCCTCTCTTTGTTATGGATTAACCTTCTATACAGTGTCATTTCAATGGGGTTCTGGAGGGACACAAGGTGAAATGTGTCCTCAGTCTATACACACACACACACACACACACACACACACACACACACACACCTATTTACATGGCTTCTCTGCCAAAGCTCCTTTAAGGGCAAGGATGTATTATAAAATGCCTAGCACAATGTCAGGAACACAACAGTTAGTCAAAGGTGTGTGGCTGGTTGAATGTGAGAGAAAATAGCTGCAAACAATAGAAAAGCTTAAGCCTAGATGATGTATATGTCAATCAAAACCAACTAAGGAAGAATAAGTTTTAAAAGACGATTAGCTGGGTATAATGGTGCTCGGCTATAGGGCAAGTTACTTGGGAAGCTGAAGTGGGAGGATCACTTGAGCCCGGGAGTTTAAGACCATCCTGGGCAATGTAGTAAGATTCCTGTATCTTTAAAAAATACATATTATTTTAGTGTTAGAAATCAACATAGTTACACCCCAGCATAGGTTTTATGGCCTTGGTATAGGCAAATAATGAAGCAACTTTACAAAATGTGATTAACTGATACAAAGGTGGTCTTGTAAGCCATAAAACCTTTGTATCAGTGTGTGTTACAAACAGAGACATATTTCTTCAGTTAAAATTACCAGGCACAGGCTGGGCGCGGTGGCTCAAGCCTGTAATTCCAGCACTTTAGGAGGCCGAGACAGGCGGATCACAAGATCAGGAGATCGAGACCATCCTGGCTAACATGCTGAAACCCCGTCTCTACCAAAAAAATACAAAAAACTAGCTGGGCGAGGTGGCGGGAGCCTGTAGTCCCAGCTACTTCGGGAGGCTGAGGCAGGAGAATGGCGTGAACCCGTGAGGCGGAGCTTGCAGTGAGCTGAGATCCGGACACTGCACTCCAGCCTGGGCAACAGACTCAGACTCTGTTTCAAAAAAATAAAATTACCAGGCACAGAGTCCTGCTGCTATCAGAGAGAAAAGAGTGAGGTCATTTTAGTTCTTGGCTCTCACTCAACCAGATAATTCAACTTGGAATATTCCTTACACCTATAAGACCAGTTCTACCCTTACAAAAGCACAACAAGTGACCACAACATTAACCCAGATATAGTGTATTATTAACAAACTTTAAGCTCCTCGAGAATAAGTACTCAATAAATATTTAATGAGTGGCTATATTCCTAACATCTGCTCACAATGCTGGTTCCACAGTCAAGAAATAAAGTGTTTAGAGGTGAAAGGTAAATAATCTTCTTAATGATACTTTCATTGATAACCATTATAAAAGTGCCTAGCCCAGATCAGGAACTCAATAAACATTTGTGTAGCTAATGAAATAATTGTAACTTTTTGAAACGTTAAAAAAGTCTGCTTTTTTGTTGTTTTTGTTGCCCAGGCTGAAGTGCGATGGCATGATCTAGGCTCACCACAACTTCCGCCTCCCAGGTTCAAGCGATTCTCTTGCCTCAGCCTCCCAAGTAGTTGGGATTACAGGCCTGCGCCACCATGCCCAGCTAATTTTGTATTTTTAGCAGAGACAGGGTCTCTCCATGTTGGTCAGGCTGGTCTCGAACTCCTGACCTCTGATGATCCACCCGCCTCAGCCTCCCAAAGTGCTGGGATTACAGGTGTGAGCCACCACGCCCAGTCAAAAAGTCTGCTTTTTAAAGTGAAGAGTGGCACACAATTCTGCAAGTATTCTAAAAGCTACTGAATTGTACACTTTATATAAAAAGTATTGAACATTGAACTGGCCGGGTGCAGTGGCTCATGCCTGTCATCCCAGCACTTTGGGAGGCCGAGAAGGGTGGATCACCTGAAGTCAGGAGTTCAGGACCAGCCTGGCCAACATGGTGAAACCCCGTCTCTACTAAAAATACAAAAATTAGCCGGGCATGGTGGTGCGCCTATAATCCCAGCTACTGGGGAGGCTGAGGTGGGCGAATTGCTTGAACCTGGGAGGCAGAAGCTGCAGTGAGCCGAGATCATGCCACTGCACTCCAGCCTAGGCAACAGAGTGAGATTCTGTCTCAAAAAAAAAAAAAAAAGTATCGAACTGTACATTTTGAATTTCATGACATAAAAATTATATCTCAATAAAACTTCTAAATAAACTCACAAGAAAACTTTTCCAGGCCTGTTGAATGACTCTGGCAGCTTTATCCTGCTTTAAAACTTCTAATTCCTCTTCCCAAGGCATTTGAAATTCCTAAAAGAAAAGGAGCAAAAAGGGTACATTTAAAACAATTTTAATTTATTTTCATTTTTATTTGTTTTTTTTTTAGAGACATTTTTATTTATTTATCTATTTTAGATTCTTGTTCTGTCACCCAGGCTGGAGTGCAGTGCTGTGACGATAGCTCACTGCAGCCTCAAACTGGTGGGCTCAGTGATCCTCTCACCTTAACTTCCTAAGTAACTGGGACTGTAGGCGTGCACCACCACACCTGGCTTTCTTTTTTTAATTATTATGTTTTTGTAGAGATGGGGTCTTGCTATGTTGTCCAGGCTGGTGTCAAACACCTCCTGGCTTGGCCTCCCAAAGTGTTGCGATTGTAAGTGTGAGCCACCGTGCCCAGCCTAAAATTATTTTATATGCTCCATTATAAAACTACCACTAGAACTCAATGAAAATTAAAGAGTTGTACAAATAAAACAATTAAGATTTCATATCAAAATAATAAAAATAAAAATAGTCACCTTTTTATTTTTTAAGAGACAGAGTCTTTCTCTATTGCCTCGGCTAGAATGCCATGGCAGGATCATAGGTCACTGTAGCCTTGATCTCTTAGGCTCAATCGTTCCTCCTGCCTCACTGTCCTGAGTAGCTGGGACTACAGGCACATACTACAATGCCTAGCTAATTTTTAAAATTTTTTGTAGAGACAGGTTCTTGCTGTGTTTCCCAGGCTGGTCTTGAATTCTTGTACTCAAGTGATCCTCTCACCTCTGCCTCTGAAAGTGCTTGGATTACAGGCATGAGCCACTGCGCCCAGCCAAAAGTGGTCAGCAATTATGGGTGATTTAATATATTCTAATTTGTATATTTTTTCTAATTCCAGCAATAATCCTGCATAGCAGATTTCACTAATATGCTTGTGTTAGAGATGAGGAGCCTAAGCTTTAAGGCCTAAGGTCAAATAGTGAATAACTAAGCCAGTTACTGAATTCAAGTTTATCTTCAAAGTCCATGACTTTTACATGCACTGTTGTATGACTTCAAATAAACTTTTCTTAAAGTGCATAGAGACAGAGTTGCATCCACAAAATTGTACAGGTCCCTAACCTAAAATTAGACCTTATATGGTCAAATATAAAAGGAAAAAAAAGGTTATGCACGGAATACAGGGAGAAACATGGATTTTTACTTAGAGTTATTACACTTCACAGAATAATGTCACTCGTTACATTTACAGTAGCAATATAGTTCTGAGATGCTTTATCATAGTCCAAAGTGAATAAATTTTGCTTAAAAGCTTAAAATTCTGGGCTACAGTGACTCATGCCTGTAATTCCATGGTTTTAGGAGGCCAAGGCAGGAGGATTGCTTGAGGCTAGGAGTTTAACACCAGCCTGGGCAATATAGCAAGACCCCTGTCTCTACAACAACAACAAAAAGCTGGGTAGGGTGGCACATACTGTAGTCCTAGCTACTTGGGAGGCTGAAACAGGAGGATGGCTTGAGCCCAGGAGTTCAAAGCTGCAGTGAGCTATGACTGCACCACTGCACGCCAGCCTGGGCCACAAAATGAGAACATGTCTCTAAAAATAATAAAAATTTAAATTCTGAATTGGTGCATGTAAAATGCAAAACATGTAAGGATTTACAAATCCCAAAGCCCTGACCTATTTAAACACACAACATATATCTACTAATATGTTTAGAAAGACAGAGGCTAAACAGAAAACTGTCAAAAAGGATATGCCATTCATAAGAAAAATGAAAGAAAAATATATTTATATATTTCTCAATTTGTCATTTTTCCCTTTTGATGTTTAAAGTTATTCAGATGCTTAAAACTAACGGTGTTTTCTTCCTAATTTGGTAAATTGTTTTTTAAATTGACATTTTTAAGAGTTAGGAGAAGGTTCTCTATGAAAAAAACATGTCTTTTTTGCTTTCCCTACAAATAGCCTTAACAATATAGGAGGCAATGGGAAGAGAGGTTAAGTCTTTGGGCTCTGAGGCAAGATAGACCAGGGTTTAAATCTTAACAAATTCTACCTCATCCTTAGCTGTGTGATTTTGCAAAAGTTACTTAACTCACTCAAACTTCAAGTTACTCATCTGTAAAATATGGGGACTCATTGTACCTAACTCATAGAATGGTCAGGATTAAGTCAGGTAACACAGGTAAAGCATTTAGTATAGTTTCTGACCCATCACAATAAATCATATCTATTATTATAACAAACTTTTCCAGAATAAAAACTATTCATGTGCATTATTCCAGTTAGAAAACTGAGATAGCATTTTAAGTACAATTATTCTCTTAATTGACAAATAACTGTTGGCATAAATGAAATTAAGGAAATTTCACGTCTAAAAGATTTGTTAATTTTTTTTTTTTTTTTTTTGAGACAGTCTTGCTCTGTCACACAGGCTGGAGTGCAGAGACATCATCTCAGCTCACTGTAACCTCCACCTCCCGGGTTCAAGTGATTCTCATGTCTTAGCCTCCTGAGTAGCTGGGATTATAGGTGTGTGCCACCATGCCCAGCTAATGTTTGTATTTTTAGTAGAGACAAGAGTTTCACCCTGTTGGCCAGGCTGGTCTCGAAATGCTGGCCTCAGGCAATCCACCCGCCTTGGCCTCCCAAAGTGCTGGGATTACAGGCATAAGCCATTGCACTCAGCAGCAACAATTTTTGTAGGATAGTTTTTACAAGTGGAATTGCTATGACAAAAGGTAGGCACATATATATTTCTGTTTTTTGTTTGTTTGTTTTCTGAGACAGAGTCTCGCTCTGTTGCCAGGCTGGAATGCAGTGGTGCGATTTTGGCTCCCTGCAACCTCCGCCTCCCGGGGTCACGTGATTCTCCTGCCTTAGCCTCTGGAGTACCTGGCACTACAGGTGTGCGCCACCATGCCCAGTTAATTTTTGTATTTTAAGTAGAGATGGGGTTTCACCATGTTGACCAGAATGGTCTCGATCTCTTGACCTCATGATCCACCCACCTCAGCCTCCCAAAGTGCTGGGATTACAGGTGTGAGCCACTGCGCCTGGCACACATATACATTTGAATTGACTGTCTCTGGAAGGGGATATGAGAAATTACAAAGAATAACTGTCTCTAGGAAGGGACCTGTGGACTGAGCAGCCTGGGTTCAGAAAGGGAAGAGATGTTTTTGTTCCAGTATACTCTTTTACACTGTTGTTTTTTTCCCACAATGTGCATTTAGTGCAGAGATACACAATATAACTTCATAAAAAATAAAACAGTATGCATATTAAAACCTAACACTGCCAAACTGTCCTCAAAAATGGTGTCCAATTTATACCCATAAACATTCCATGGGAACACTTGACTCTAAATTTTAGAAAAGTAAAAAATTAAACGTAAATTAGATATTAGGACGATAACAGGTCTTTTAATATTCTTTCCAAGAACTAAATTGTATGATTTTTACCTGTTATCAATGTAGTGTGTTATTTAACATGACAGCATTAGCATTAATCCATCACAATTTTGTCATTTTCCCAAATACATTCTCAATTTTGTAGGTGAAAATTTAACACTGGATCTTAAAAATTCTGACCCAGTTTATTAAATACTTTGATCTAAATAATTTCACACAGGCTTTCTGCATACACCTGCTTCCTGCTTCTCTAGTGACATAGGCTAAAAGGTATTTAGAGGCTGCCAAAAAACTATGTCATAAATGCCACCATTATATGTTTATGAATACACAAAATATTGAGAAAATATATTTCAGCATTCAAAATTATGATTCAGAAATTAACAATGAAGTTCCACAATTTCCAGAAAGAACATATTCAATTGTGTCAAATATTGTTGCAAGGACAAGTAAATACAGAGGAAAGAAAGGAAGATTAGGCCAGATAAAGTCACTAGTGACAGTACAGGCGCTGTTTCAGTGGAGTAAGCAGGGAATGAAGTTTGGGGTGGGTTGAGGAAGTGGGAAAGTTGAGACAGTAGGTACAGTAGTAATTCTTTGGGGTGCTGTAAGGGAGCAGAAAAATGGGGTGTAGCTAAAGAGTGAGAATGGATTAAAGGTTTTTTTAAAATAAAAGAAAAATAAAAAGGCCGGGCACGGTGACTCACGCCTGTAATCCCAGCACTTTGGGAGGCCGAGACCAGTAGATCATCTGAGGT